CCCCGGAGTTCTGCTGGAGGAGCCGCGCCAGCTCTACCACCACTTCCAGGTGAGGGGTAGGGCTGCCCGCCCCGGGAGCGGGACACGGGGCCGGGGCTGTGCCTGAAAACCTCTGTCCCGCCCACAGTACGCCTACTTCAGGATGGGGATTCAGCAGAAGGAGATGGTGAAGGCCCGGCTTTTCCAAATGCCCTTCGCCGAGCTCAGGAACCGGCACATCTTCCTGGAGCGCCGGGGGCTCTACCAGACACCGCTCAAAGGCCAGACCCAAACCTCTAACCCGAAACTAAAGGACGTCCTTCAGCTCCCAGAAAAAGACTTCCTGGCCAGCCTGGCCTGCTCTACCGTGGAGGAGTATGAAGTCTTCAAGAAGCTGCTGGCTCGAGAGGAGGAGGAAGAAGAAGAGGAGGAGGAAGAAGAAGAAGAGGACACAGATGCGTTATACACAGAGGAAGACTAAGGCTTGGACACTGAAGGATGTAAATCAGTCCAGGAGTGAGGAGGTGAGGTTCCAGGGTGCCTGAACTCCCCCATTCTGGCCCCACTGCACTCACAGGTGCTCTGGGCCTTGACCACACACAGGTATAAGCCACGGTGGCTTCAGGACTCTCTGTGTGGGGCCCTTTTGAGGGGCAGCAATAAATCTCATCTATCAGAATACAACAATAACCCTTGTTCCTCCTCATTGACCAACTACTTTAGAAAAATCCAGTTTCTGTAAAGAGTTTTTATTTTTTTAAAAAAGGGGAAAAAAAAAAAGGAAAAAAAAAAAGAACCAAACCAAAATAACTAATTTATTGTCAAGGCTAGGTTGGAATTCACTGCATTACATACTTTGCTGGCTGTAGGGTGGGAGGCAGGGGGCTGCTGCATGGGCTTGCAGCAGGGACAGGCCCAGGGCCTGCACTGGAGCAGGACTGTCCCCTGGTGTGACCACCTCCCCCTTCCTAGCCTGTGTTGGTGCTGGTCTTGTGGCTGACAAGGCAGGGGTGCAAATGCTTTCTGACCACAGCCCCAGAACCTCCCCTCCCTGATGGATATCAGAGGCTGTTCTGGCTTTTCCCTTGCTCTGTTCTTTCAGACAAGGGATGGCCTCTCATGCCCTGGAGAGGCAGAATTCCTGTCCTGGTCTTACAGCAGGATGGTGCCTGGAGCAGGGTCAGGCAGCCTTAAAGGAGAAGGAGGCATGTCCATCTCCAACTCTGATTTTCCTCTGGGAGCAGAGCTAGAGCCTATGCAGGAGGAGCATCATGCTGGCCAGCTGGTCATGGCTTTACATTGCCCCTGCTGCTCCTGGGCTCCTGCTGGATGCCTCAGGAGCTGCTCCTCCTGGCCCAAAGCTCTTACACTGCTCCTGGGAGGGAGGTGGTGGTGCCAGGAGCACCTAAATGCCTGGGCCTGTTTTGCTCTGAGCATCCACGCTGCAGCTCCACACGTGGCTGAACAACACAGTGCCCTGCTGCACCTGTGGGAGGGGAGTGCTGTCCTGCTGGGATGCCCCCCCATGCTGCTCAGGAAAATAACACTATATCACAACTACGATATATCTCTGGTATGTATTAATTTATAATATACACTGTGTATGTTAATACACAAATCTATGTTTAACTAGTGTTGTCATACAAACTCACAAAAATTAGGAACATTACTAAGCTACGCTTTTTCCTTGCCTGCTCTGCTGCAGCCAGTGGGGCAGCCGCTCTAGGGCCTTGCACACTGGTGCTCTCCATAAGCACAGCACTGGCACTGCAGCACTGGCACTGCAGCACTGGCTGGTGCCAGGGAAAGTGCCAACGCTGGAGCAATTCAGGGGTGGCACGAGCAGCTTGTTTTGTCACTGAGCCCATCCTGGGCTTGGTGCTGGGCTTGGAGGCATTAGTGTCAAAACAAGCACAGTGTTAGGCTTTGTTGACAAACTTGACCCTACTTTTAAAATTCTTTTTAAGTACTCTGTTGGTTTCTGAGCTGGAAATTTGGTTTGTTTACAGGGATTGTTTACAAAGCAAAGAAAAAAGGTGGGCAGTAGAAGATGCCTCAGTTTCCCCAGCTAGAGCAGAGGAGACAGGGATGTATCTCCACTGTCCACACTTGCCTCACTGCTTAGGGGAGCTGCTCACCATTCCTAACTTGCCTATAGAGGGAAGGTCTCCTTCAACCAGAGTTTTGTGGGCCACTTTTCAGGTGATAGCTAAGGATTTTTGGTCTGCAGTAAACTGTTTTATTTGGGGGTTATAGGTAACTTATAACCTTGGATTAGGAGAACGGTTTGGTCTTGGCAGCAATAGGAGCTCAGCCCCGCTGATGCCTGAGGAGAGCCAGGAGCCTGGGGCTTGTTCAGAGTGGCTGGAGGGGGGCAAGCAGGGCTGGTCCCCATGGGGGGCAGCCAGCCAGCTGCTGCAGGACACTGGCATTCAGCTCCCTGGGGGCAGATAGGAAGCTGGAGTAAGGCAAGGCAGAGAGCAAAGACAGTGCTGGTCTGGAGGAGTGAAGGGAGCACTGCTCAGCCTGCCCATCCCACTGCATGTCCCTAACAGACTGGAGGAGGGGGGAGAGGCTGATGCCTGATGACAGGAAGGTTCCCCCACTGTGTTCAACCCAGTGAGCAGTTCTGATCTTCCTGGTGTTTCAAAAGCCCTTAGATGTGGAAAGATGAAGCTTCTACTGCTTTGAACTCTGTGAAGGAGCAGAAGGATAAGCTGGTATGCAGGAGGGCCCAAAAGCCCCGCAGCTGCCTCTTCCCACCCTGTGTGTCTGTCTCAGGCTAGTAGAAGGGGACCTACCCCTCCCTAGGGCCCCAGCCTTTGCCTTGCACAGGCAGGGTCTCGGCCCTTTCTGTGCAGGAATGTCTTGTTCCTGGTGTTGCAGAGCCATGGTGAAGCAGACCATTGCCTTCTGCTCCTCCACCCCAGCCACAACCAGGAGCCCTCAGCCACTTGCCCAAGCACGTGGCAGTGTGAGCCTGGGCTGCACTCTGGCCTCCACCCTTCTCCCCAACTCCCAGTGCAGGACACGAGCAGCCAAAGGCAGGAGCTACCCATGCCCACAGCTGAGGAGGGGCTAGAGCTGGTACTTACTCTATGGCTTTTTCAGTGTGTGACTGTTGCTTGGTTTTCTGAAAGAGAAGGAAGGAAAGTGCCATCAGCCCTGCAGCCTCTCAGCCATGGCTCACAGGGAGGTCACAGAGAGGTGGCAGCTGAGCCTTGGCCTTGTGCTCCTCCTATGGGGGACCTGCACCCCTCTCCCAATCCACTCCCAGCCTGGGCAACCCCACACATGGTGGGTGACACTGGCTATCTCTATCCTCCTGGCCTGTGCCACAGGAAGCCTGGCATGCTGCTGCTGGCTATACCTGCTGGTTGTCTTTCCAGAAGCAGTGCTCTTGCAGCTCTCCTTGTAGCAGACATCCTGGTGTACCTTGTAGACTCTCCTGTACCTGCACACACAGCAGAGGAGTGAGTTGCAGGGAGTAACAGGGACAGATCTGCTTTTATAAATGTGAGGGGAGTAAATGTGCACTAACCAGCCTTGGTAGGAACAGGGTTGAGCCTGCTAGGCCTTAGGGCTGACTCCACCCAGGCAGGCCCTTGTGCCTCCATTACAGGAGGGCTGTGGGGGGCAGAGCAGAGGCCCCCATGCCCTGGCATTGCAGCAGGGCTGTGGGGGGCAGAGCAGAGGCCCCCGTGCCCTGGCATTGCAGCAGGGCTGTGGGGGGCAGAGCAGAGGCCCCCATGCCCTGGCATTGCAGCAGGGCTGTCTCCAGCCCTCCGCTTACTGACAGAGTTAGGCAGGAGCTGGGCTGGCAGGCAGCAGACAGGGGATCTGCTCTTGCTTGGGGGTCACAAACACCAAATCAAGCATTGCTATCCATGTAAGTGGGTAACACCACAATGGGGCTGTCATTTTAGCAACACCCTGCCCTGAAACACAGCTGCAGGGTGGATGGGCAGTCCTGGGGGCTCGAGGACAGATGAGGCTACTCAGCCTGCACTGGGGAGAGGGGCAGCTGCCAGCCAGGGTCTGAGATGGACTCGTGCTCACTCTCCCTTCCCTGGAGCCAAGCACAACCCACAGGCAGTACTCACAGGTAGTGGCAGGTGCCTCCTTCCCACACAGGGAATGACTTGGTTTCCGAGTACAGCCGCGTGCATGAGTGTGGCACCTTCTTGCAGGCTGCTTGGGGAACAGGAGAGGGGAGCTATCAACAAGCCCATGTCAAGCCCTCTCTGCTTAAGACTCTATGGCAAGGGGCTGGCAAGGCCCCCCTGGCTTCCCCTCTGCTGTCCTGGAGGCCTTGACTCCACAGCTGACCCACCAGGAGCAGCAGAGCCCCCAGTGGTGCCCAGGTAGCTACATGGGCAGGGCAGGAGCCTGGCTTGCCGGGCTGCCTGGCAGGGGTGGAGGGTTCAGTCAGAAGTGGGGAGCAGACCTGTGCTCCCAGCTCTGCCTGAATTGGCACAAGCAGAGCCCAGCCCCTTCCTCCACTGCCAGCACAGCGTGACCCTCTCTAGCAGAGCCTGGGCATGGTGGGAGCCCCCTGGTCTGGGGGAGCAAGATGCTGATGGGGTGTGCTTGGTGACCCTGGGGACCTGTGGTTGGGACATCTGCCAGGCTGGGCACATGCTGTACACTTGAAGAAGGGAGCTGGGCTCTTCTGCAGCAGCAGGGCACTCACTCAGCTCGCAGAGCCGGCCCCTGAAGCCCGGGCGGCAGTCACAGTGGTAGGACTGGGCATCCCTGGTGCAGGTGCCTCCGTTCCTGCAGGGGTTTGTGGAGCAGTTCTGCTCCTCACCTGCAAAACACATACAGCCATCAGATTCTGGTGCCATGGTGCAGCCTTCTCCATCCCCCTGGCATGCTTGGGTGCTCCTAGGAGAGCTGAGAGTGGGTGAGCAGGGATGGAGCAGCCAGCAGGGACCCACACTGGGCCATTTGAGTGCCTCTTGGCAGGGCAGCAACAAGGACAAAGCCCTTGGGCAGGGTCCTTGCTGCTCATGTGTCTGCCCCCAGACTTACTCTTGCTCTTTGCCTCGTGCAACTGCAGTGCCAGACTGCCCTGGCTGGACACCTCCACGTTTTCCAGCTTCACTGGAGCCTCTGGCTCTAGACAGGAAGAGGGTCACATGTCACCTTTAGCTGGAGCCAGACCCAAAGGCAGGCCCTTTAATAGGATCCATCCTACCCACAGCATCAGGGGGCTGGTTAGGCCCAAGGCAGTGGTTTAGCCCTTCCTAGTTGGCACCCCCAAAATTAGGGTGACCACCTTATCCTTCCTGGAGGGTTGTGGGACACACAGCCCTGGGGAGGCAGGGGCAGAGCCAAGATACACAGTGAGCCCTGGAATGCTGTCAGGTGTGCCAGGCCTCTTCCCCACCCCACGGCATGGGGTTCCACTTGCTGCACCCTGACACCCAAGTCTGCCAAGCCCCAGGCATGGGGTTCCATGGTAGGAAATCTTGGGCTGGAACTTGCATCCCCAGTATTCTGGTGATGGCAAATGGGGCGCTGGTCCTGAGCTAGTGCTACACTGTCCTAAGGGAAGGCCTAGGAGAGGGCAGTGGGTGACTGGAGGGGACTACAAAGGCAGAAGAGCACTTACGTGTCTTCACAGTGATGGATTTTCCCAGTGCAGTGCCAAACCTGGCACTGATTCTCCCTCTGCCATCCACCAGCTCAGTGAACCTGGGACAGGAGAGACATGAGGGTATGGAGCATTGTACATCCCCCCAGCTCACTGCCACTCCATGTGCTCAGGCTGGAGGCAGCTGGATAAAGCACTTGCTGGCAGCATTAGTGAGAGTCCTGTGGGCTCAGTTGCAGGCAGGTGCTCACAGGGCAAGGGTCTGCCTGGCTCAGGTCCCCAGGGGCTGGGCAAGAGACAACCCAGGAGGAACAGGGCTTGACCCATGGCACACCCAGACACGGGAGCTGGGAAAAGGGGCTGTGCTCAGCCTGGTGCTTGGGCCGAATGCAGGTGGAAGAGCCCAGAGTGCTGGTGCAGTGCCTACCTGGGGGCTGGCAGGGGCTCCTCAGCTGTGTCGTGATCCGCCAGCAGGCGGAGCTCAGGCAGGAAAGCTGGGGGCAGCCTGTTGCGCAGGAGTCGGGTGTGCCCAGCTTGGTTCCACCGTCTCTCTGGAGCCCCATCCCTCTGCACTGCAAGCCAAAGGGTTAGGCTTAGCAGGAGGCAGGCTGTGAGTCAGCACAGCGACCCTACTCCCAGCCAGTCCCCTTGTCCCCAGGTTGCTATTTAGGGTGCACAGTCTGCAAGTGCCAGTCTCCATGAAGCATGCCTGAGCTGCACCTCTGCATCTGCACCCCCTGACAGAGGAAGCACCCTGCAACTCCTGCCTCCCTTTGCAGGGGACCTGTCCCCACAGCCTGCTGTGGGCACCTGGTTCTGTGACAGAACCTCGTTAGCTTCCCCATGAGCCCACCACCTCCCTCATGCTGCACCAAACCAGCAGCCCTGGCACTCACGGGTGGTGACATAGAGGTGGATGGGCTCGCTGTGCACTTGGCCTTGCTCCGTGTTCTGCACGGCGGTCACGGACAGGCGGTACTGCTGCCTGGGGAGCAGGTCCCGCACTGTGTAGGACACAAGCTTCCCGTTGGGCACGTAGCGGCTCTTGACACTCTGAGCAGTGGTGACATTGATGATGTACCCCTCCACAGCGCCGGCAGGCGGCTGCTCCCACGCCAGGGACACAGAGGTGGCGGTGACACGGGAGGCAGTGAGGTTTTTTGGGGGGAGAGGCCCTAGGGCAGGCAGGCAGGCAAGAGATGAGGAAGAAAAGGGGTGAGCACTGGTGTCCTTTAATGGTGACCAACCCTACTTTCTCACGTGCCACCTTGTAAGTAAGTGTGCCAGGGCCCCAGCTTGCCTGGCGTTCCAGCCTGTTTTCAGCCCAGCTCCAGCCATGCAGTGCACAGGGAGGAGATGCTCAGCGTTGGGTCCCTGCCAAGGCAGGTAGAGCCTCGCTGCACCCTGACACCCAGGTCTGGCCCTCCTCACTCTCCAGCAGGGAATGAATGAGGCCTGTAGGCTTCACATGGGGCTGAGCTTGTGCTGGTCTTGGGCAGTGAAAATCTGGCAGGGGAGGACGTGCTGCTGCCTCGTCTGCCCTTCCCAAGGGATGCCCGCACGCCTCCCACACACTGTGCTGGCCAGACAGGCTGACGGCTTTCACACCTTCCCCTCCCTGCAGCTTTCCTGCTGGCCAGGAGCCGTGGCTGCCCTGCCTGCCAAGCCCCAGGGCCTCTGCAGCCGCACGGAGTGGTGAAAAGATGGCTGCCCTGCCTGCCAAGCCCCAGGGCCTCTGCAGCAGCAGGGAGTGGTGAAAGCAACCCCACTCACTTGTCCACACGTGAAAGGGGGCTGTAGCCAGACTCTCTGAGGGGTGGTCTTCTGTCCCCAGGCCGCTCAGCGTTGTGACGTGGATGATGTACCTCTCTCCTGGCTGCAAGTCCCTGTGGAGGAGGAAGGGGTAAGTCAGGCAGCCAAAGGAGGGCCAGCTGGCCCAGCACCCACCTTGCTGGGTAACCCCACTCACAGGAAGGTGTACTTGGCCACGCTGCTGTTCAGCTCCACGGTGCGGTCTGCCAGGTCCCCCGGCTGGCGGATGGAGACCCGCACCCTACTGACGGTGGAATGCTGGAGCCGGTGGAGAGCCCACTGCACCGTGATGGCGCTGGCCGTCACGTTCGTGATCTCAAAGCCTTCCACCGGACGCGGTCCTGCCCAGAGCGAGGGGAGAGGGCTGCACTCAGACACTAGTCGTGGTGGGCAGCCCCATCCCTTCCCCGTGCCCCGCCAAGGGCCTGCCTGCCCCTCTGGATTGGTTTCCCAGCAGGAGCAACTCAGTGCCCAGACTCCTGTCCTCACCACCAGCTGGCAGGTGGGAGGTGTGGGCAGGCAGGAGGCACATCCATCTGCCTGGCTCCAATGTCCTGCACCATCTGTAGCACCCCTGAGGCCATCTCCTCTAGCCTCAGCCCCTGCCACCAGCCTCAAAGGGGCCGCAGTGCCTGGGCCTGGCCCTAAGCCACTGCATGCCCCAGCCAGCCATGCTGAGCCTGGTTCTCACTTCTTCTGACGTCCAGCCCTGGCTTGAGGCCTCCCCAGCTGTGCCCGAGCCCAGGTCTCAGCCTACTGGAGGGGATGTGGCCCAAGAGCATTCCTAACACCATTCCCCTCTTGTAAGAGTGCAGCTTTTCTAGCTCTAATCCCCTCCATCTTCAGTTTGCACTTGATTTCTCCATCTGACTGCCCTAGAAAGCAGGACTGCAGGTTTTTCTCCTGCCCATGCCCCCACAGAGGCATCACTGTGCCCCCTTCCCTCCACCCACAGAGGTCCCTGCCAGCCTCTGCCATCTCTGGCACAATCCCACAGCAAGCCCAGAGGGATGGAGGGATGATGTGGCCACAGGGCTTCTTGTCAGCAGAAATCACTCAGCCCCACTGCCTGGCTGGCACAGGGGCCTCTCCCACTCAGCCCAGCAGCACTGGGGACCCACACTACCCTGGGCCCAGTACAAGGAGTGATAAGTGCAGCGAGCACAGCCTGGCCCTGAGGAACAGGATCCAGGAACGGTCCCTACTTCTGGCTCCCTTACCAGCCCTTGGGCAGGGGGCCCAGTGAGCTGCAGGTGGGTTTGGTCCCCTTTTCCTCACAGCAAAGAGAACAGCAATTCTCTGTGCTAAGCACTTTTCCAAAGGCTGGATTTTCAGATCCGCACCACCAAACCTGCCGGGCTTTGGCACAGGCTGCAGCTGGAGCTGGCAGGCAGCAAAAGCCCTGTCACCTCTGGGGGCTGACAGTGCTCGTGGCTGCCATTCCACCCCCCGGGACACTACTCACTAGTGCGCGTGGTGAGCATGATGGGCCTGCTGATATCATTCTTGTTGTTCACGTTGCGTTTGACTGAAAAGACAGAAATATTGTAGGCTCTGCCGGAGGCTAGTGCCCGCAATTGGTGGGCAGAACGACTTCGGTCCACAAAATCTGTCCTGCGGTAAGAGCCGTCGAGGGATACGTACGTCACGGCGTAGCCGTCAATGAGTTGCCTGGCGGCTGCGTCCTCAGGTGGGTGCCAAGAAATCAACACACCAGTGTCCTCCACCCTTTCCACCTTTAATGAGGTTGGTGGCAGCAATTCTTCAGGGTGTGGGCAAAAGCAAAGGGGAGAGGTAACGCCATGAATCTTTAGAGAACAGACCCCGGCGGCAAGAGGCAGAGCAGCAGCGATGGAGGACGGGGCCCTTGCTGTCTTCCTTGGCGTGCCTGGCAAGGGCCTTGCAGGTGCCAGGCACCACTGGCCCAGCGGGCACGGAGGAGGGGAGCAGCCCCAGCCACTGAGACCTGGCAGCACCAGCAGGCAGCCAAGTGCTTGCCAACGCCTAGGGCACTGGTGGGATGGGGCGAGGGGCCCCAGGGAGGCCATCGCCAGCGGCAAGAGGCTTCCCCCAACATCTCAGCCTCCCCTCCTCAGGGCATCCAAGGGATCGCCATCACTGCCGGGGCAAGCCTGTCCCCAGTGTCCTCACACCAAGCCCGGTGCCCGCGGCAGCGGTTCACTGCCCTCGCACC